CCTGCCAACATTTGCTATGCCAGACGGAAAGAGACGGTTTTAACAGCCGTTTGAACACTGCCGTCACAGCTGACTAGTTTACAGAATGTATTCGGGACGTGAAGACAATTTGAAAGCTCACTAAGCAATAAAGTTTTGTGTCGACAGGGACGGGCATCAAAACTGCCCCTCGCCCTCCCTACAGTTCAGACCTTACTCAGTGTGACTTAGTTGTTCCTCAAATTGAAGGGGAAGTGCAGTTGTTTTGAAGACATTGAGAAGATGATAGCGCTCCTAACAAGAGATCCGGACACATTTACTTTGGATAGGGCTTTCACAAAATGCCTGGAGATCTAAATTAGGTACATTGATATCAGAGGATCTTTAATTTGAACGGGGATTAGTGTTTTATATTTGATTGAACGTAATAAATGTTTCTTTAGAAAAAGTCTAAAAACATCTCGAATGCATTTTGTATTTTCCTTTGACATTATCTAATATTAGTTAGTTATCTAATATTAGATTTGGATCACCCTTCAGTCCTGCATATATGATTCTATGCTCGTCGCTTGTAAAATGTCCTTAGTTTTTCTATATGATTTCACTTACATCTACAATGCTGAAATTCGGCTTTTCCATTCCCTGTCGTTGCCTGTAGAGATGATACATAGTAACATCAGCCAGCAGTTTTATTAGTAGCAGCTGGCAAACTAATTTTAAACTCCATTCTTTTAAATAAGAAATGGTCTCTTCATTTTTCTTTCGACTACGGCGTAAAGAGATCTATCCTGATGAAAAACACTCCTCAATGGCCAATCAGTTAAATAGTACATTTCTTGTTTCAGGTGCTAACCATCTTCTTTGTGATCAGAGCAGGAAGTCAGTATAAACAGTTTAGTCAGCGACAAAATTAATCATTCTCAAATTGGTTACAGGAGAGATATGGATTATGTGGCACCATGCATAATTAGAAAACTGAAAAGAGATATTCATAAATATATGATTTGTTTTTTTCGGTTTGTTAACCATTTGATAATTATTTAGAGCTGAAAAATATTTCGGGGTTAGGAATAATTCTTTCTTTACATTCAGGCGATCTGAGAGAAAGAAAGAAAAGAAGAAGAAAAGGAAGGAAAGAAAGGAGAAAAATAAATAATACGAAACCAGGTCGTAAGCGAAAACACACACGCTCGACTGGCACATATCAGATGTCAAAAATATCAGGTCAAGCACCTGACTTACTTCCGTGTCCGCGGAGGATGGAAGTTTGTTATCAATTTGGTTGAAGAAATAAAGTTTAGAGACAATGGAAAAAATATGATAGATAACAGGTGGGAAGTTTATCTAAGGATATACAGACAATCCATTAATACGAGAACCCAGACAATTCCAGAATTGAAAATACAGTCACACAAGATGATGATTAGAAAATGTTTTTTTGAGATAATTAAGATTTTTGTTGTCAAGCTCCGAGCGAAGGGAGAAAGTGAAATACTTTTATTAGTTCACGTTAACACCACCCAGGGTGATGTCGCTTTTTGAGATAATACAGATTTTTATTATCGGCCGGCGGAGAATGAAATATTTTGTTGCGTTCAGAGAAACGCCGACCGGTCTAAGAAATCCCTTTCTTAGATCGTATCAATTAGCGATAGGATGTTTGACAAATACCGCGTGTAAAAAGAAACCGGGATCGTCATTTCGGTCACATACGAAAAGGGCAGTTTAAGTTTTGTTTTTTTAAGCAAGGTGTTCCCCCCCAGAACAAAGCCACGGATTGTCCACGCCCGATTAAAGACGTCACGAAGGAAGGAGGAAAGATACCGACCAGAGTCTCATTGGCCGAAGGCGGCCACATGATACATGAGGGAGGAGGAGAGACACCGACCAGGACCCCATTGGCCGAGAGCGGTCACATGATGTGCGAGGGAGGAGGAAAGATGCTCGACCAGGACCCCATTGGTCGAGAGCGGTCACCTGACATACGAAGGACCAGGGAAGCGGGTATACGCCCCCCAGAGGCACAGTAAGGAAGTAGGGTGAAAGTAAGTTACCGAAAATGGAAAATCCCTAATCAGAAATAATACGTCTTTAGAATTATCAAGAAAACCCTGGCGCCGACAGACCCACCCCAGTTTCTGACTGCCTCAATAAAAGCGGGACCCCAACCGACAGAAATCAGTTGCAGCACGGGCGGCGGGCCCGGTTCATTCGCCCCCTTGCGGGCAAGAAAAGCCGAAGTGAAGCAGCCCGTTTGGCCTAAGTGGAGAAGTTGGAATCAAGCCGAAGTGAAGCAACCCGTTTGGCCTAAGTGGAGAAGTTGGAATCAAACCGAAGTGAAGAAATTCGTCCAACCCAAGCCGAAGTGAATAAGCTCGTCCAACCGAAGCCGAAGAGAAGAAGTTAATTCGCGCACTGACAGCGGAGATGAGTGAACAATAATTCAGACTCTGAAGAGAGAGTTAGTTGCAGCCACGGACGGCGAGAGAAATCAGCCGTGAACGACAGGTAGAGATCAGCGCCCAGTGTTGAAACCAAACCACACCCCTGAAATGCAAATTTCTAGAGAGCAAGCAACTCGAAGCCTTAAAGTTGTATGGTAGAAGCTTGGTGCCACGGTCCACAGAACGGGTCGGGAGGTAGGAATAATCTTGTGTAACGAACAATTAGATATAAAAAGTTGTTACCTTTTTCTTCAATATTTTTTGACCTTGTGAGTTTTATTTATCTTGTGTGTTATCACCCCCGTTGGACTCAGCTTGCATACGGCCCAATCCCTGTTTGATCCCGTCTGTCTAAGATCTAATCACAGCGTGGGTAGACAGACCGGAGATCAGTGTAGTTACCCTGGTAACCAGGCGTTGGAAGCGGGTTGGGAACAACGAGGCTGGTATTCATCTAGCCAAAGGGTTAGAACGTCACACTTGGAGCAGCGAGGAGTGAACAGCTGGCGTCGCGAACGGGATCGAACGACACAGTCGACGCTGCGACCAGGGGGGACGACGTCACATTAGTCCACAGGGCAGCATAAGTGAGGGTTTATATTCTTGCGTGCTGGGACATCCCGGGGCGGTGTAATGATTAGCAAGCTTGTCTCACTAGACAAATTACGACTAAGTAGTGAGTTTGATTCTCACTGGGTTCCCTCCCTACTGTCGCCTTTGTGCCACATCTAAGCTACGCTTGGAAAACCACTATATTCTTGTGTGCTGTCGTCCGTGATTGGGTGACCAAGGCATATTCAGGTTCCAGTTTATGTCTGTATTTTGGAATTTATTTTATACAAAATATGTTTTAATTTACTTCGAGCTGTTATTATCTGTCTGAAGAGTTTTCTGCCTGATTTTCAAATCTTCCGCTGCTTAATTCTATCTGAAATATTATAGAGATTTATTCGGGTAAATTCTATCTAAAATATTATGGAGATTTATTCGGGTAAATTCAGCATTATCTGTAGCGAATGCCTGACTGCTAAATTTTAATTTATCCAAAAAATTAAGGAAGAATTATAGCCTATTGATGTTTTACTACTACTACTACTATTATTATTATTATTACTATTACTATTACTACTATTAATATCGATCTAATTATATTTTAAGGAAACGTTCGACATAGTAAGTCCTTGGTATAACGATATACTACATCTGACAGCAAGGCCTCTGATCAGGGTATTGGAGATTTTGAAGAGCGTGGAACCAGTGCTTAATTGCTGTTGTTCTCAGATCCATGCTGACGAGTTGGGATGGTATCACCAGTTCGAATCTCAGTTATGGGCAAATAATGAACCCCCAAACAAACTTTAAAAAAAAACTATGAAAGTATAAAAATACATTATTATAGTAAACAAATACCAGCAATGCACTTTTATATAAAAAGAAAATGACCAACAATACATTTTATCTATAGATGAACGTTTAAAATATATTTATTTTAAGCCATAAAATTGTGTCCAAAATATTTAGATTTCGGCGATAAATAACCCATAGAGGTTAATATGCCGCTAAATATAATCGAACAACTTATATAAGTAGATAAATAGCGTAGAAGTACAGTTGCAGCAAGAGGGGACATAATCAATGATTACTGGGGCCATAATCGTACGTCACTCGACATACCAATTGCAGACTGATATCGAAAGGTCGTAAAAAACTACGGTCGCCAGTGAGTGATGCCCAGACGTAACCACTTTTGACGGACACGAATTGTGACAGCCTAATCTTAATCTGAAGACAACTTTGTTTTATCTCAGTCCATCTATCAGCCACGGCTAAGATCGCGACATTACTACACCTTCTCTGAGCCAAAGAATATTACCATTCTATGACTGACACCGAATTGTCCAGTCATATTTACATCTCTTTTAGGCCGATGCTTGTATTTTTACCTGGGGTGAAACGGCTTGCGGATAAGTATCGAATCTTTCAGAAGCATCTTGTTCGGACAGGTTGTAACTCCGTAATGCTATGGGATAAATTTCTTCTGGATATCGTAAGAATATTCAGCAATGCTTGAATCTGATAATTATGATATAAACCGATTTCTTGCTGCAGTCAATTTGTGCCGCTTTTATCATCGCCCGTTATCCTATTTCCTGGGAGTGTAATTTCGTCCAGCAAGATAATGCAACGACCCATTGTTTAAGGGTTACAAAAAATAGTTCCTGGAATACCTGACTGAGTTCCATATTCTCAATTAACCGTTTGCTCGTAAGAGTTAAACACCGTCAAGCATATATTGGACATGTTGCACGTCTAATTAAATTCCCTTAACTCACGCCCACCATAACAGATATATATATAAGCAGATGTATAGTTCGTAAGTAGTAATAAACAGTTCTATCATTCCAGCTATCTTCTGTTCTCGGTGTCCAAATTGTGAGCATAGGTATTAACTGTCATTTTTCCAAGGGGAGTGCACCGAATATATATTCCTGTCAAATCTGTTACACGATAGGAGTTTCACCCGTTCAGAAGAGGGCTTCTCTCACAATCATTTGCAGTGTAAACTTTTACGACCCAATGGACAATTCAGTGTCAGAGAGTGACTTGATTGTTGATCTGGGGTTGAGCACGGTAAATGCTGTTCGCTTATCCTACCCAAAGCCGCGTATGAATATGAACGAAGATATTTAAGAGGCGGATTGAAGATTGAGATTTAGACTGACAGGCCGTTCATGAGATAAGATCTGTATGATTATGATATAAGACACGATCTATCTATCTATCTATCTATCTATCTATCTATCTATCTATCTATCTATCTCTGTTCATATCTATCTATCTATCTATCTATCTATGTCTGTTCATATCTATCTATCTATTTATATATCTAGCTATCTTAGTTTCTTCAAATGTCTGTCTATCCTTTTGTTTTTGAATATGTTTTATTTATATTTATCGTATGTATCTATCTATTTTCGTCTGTACATATCTATCTATCTATCTATCTATCAGTCTATCTATCTTAGTCTCTTCAAATGTCTGTCTATCTTTTTGTTTTTAATTATCTATTTGTTTTATTTATATTTATCACATGTATCTATCTATTTTCATCTGTACATATCTATCTATCTATCTATCTATCTATCTATCTATCTATCTCCTTCTGTTCATAGGTACCGCTGTTGATATCTATCTATCTATCTATCTATCTGAGTTAAGTTTTATTTTTAGTTGATAGTCTATATATTTTCGTCTACCGGTTAGAATATTGGAGAATTATTAAAGAAAAATATGCTGGAGAGAAAAATATGCTCTTTTTCTTTAATAAGATTTCCTGAATATTCGGGCCGATAGACAATAATAAATATACTTTTCAGGAATAAAATCAGAGCGTCTTATCAAATATGGGCATCTAATAAAAATACATTTAAGTGATAAAAAATGTATCTGATTAATAAATAAAATAAATCGATTACTTTTTTTGGAAAATTATTTTCTGTGTATTGCACCCTGTTCATAACTATGTCAGTCTGTTTACATCTATCTATCTATCTATCTATCTATCTATCCTTCTTTTATTATTACCTTTTTCTATCATCATGTTCTTTCTTTCTTTGCCAAAGGAAAAGAACTGTGTCAGACAATCTATTCAAATAAATATTATTTCCTTCCATATTTACAAACGCTAACACATCAATCAATCACAATTAATTTCTATCAGTCTATATGCATGGAAATTCTTTGCTGTGACCCGTCTTTTTTTCCTATGTGCCGTCTCCGTTCTGGACTTGGGCGACAGATATCCTTTGTAAATCTTTGAAACATTTGTTTTTCTGCTATTTCTTCGAATCCCTGTTCTTCACACCATTTAAAAAAATCATTTGATAGGTTCTGCTCTTCAGTAAGCCTTGTGGGTGTCAGATTTTCTAAGTGCTCTTTCCTCCTTATATGCGATAGAAATTTCAATTCTCTTTTTCTGATACTAAGTATATGAGATCTTTTTGTTTCCATTGCTTCATTGACTGTTCAATCCATGCTGTTCTCAGTATCCTTCTGTATTACTACAATCCTGCTGTTCTACAGAAGGATGATGATAATAGTCTGAGAACTTAAAATAATTCGGGGCATTTAATTTGCTAATTTAATTAGATTTAAATGAATTTATATTGATTTATTTTCGTTCTTGATCGTTTCTATCATTTTTGATAATCTTCATCTCTTTTGTTTTATTTTTTTATCGGTTTAATCGCATTTTAACGTTTTTTAGTCCCGTTTGAACTCCCTTTTTTATACTGATTAAGCGCTTTTCGAAAAACTAATAAAAATATGAAACATATATATATATATATATATATATATATATATATCGTCAGTCACGGATAAACTGTTTCGCAGCTCATCGGTGTAGCTAGACATCCGATCGCTTCTAGCCGGGACCAAAACCCGACCAATTTGTCATCAGCCGGGCATTCCAACCACTAGGCTACTGGCGGCCGACAGAGAAAAAGGCGAATTTTTGCATATTTATTTTTTCATAAACACCCCTCTCCTTAGATCTCTTTTGTGGAAGGAGGTAGTATTTTTCTCTTATGGTCGATAATCAGAGGTTCGGTAAATTTTCTCTTCCTGTTTGACTCTCTAGTTTCTGTGTCTTCCTGTGGTCTTTGAATCACAAAAGCTTCAAAGACTGCATCCATTGAATCATCATTTTCAGCGGGTGACGATCTTGGCTCTTCAACCCGTCTTTTTTGTATTTGGTCAATATGGCTTTCTGTGGGTAAACTTTCGCCTTGTACTGTGTACATCACATTTCCTAGTTTGTTAATTATTGTGCCAGGCTCCCAGTAACCCGTTCTCTAGGTTTAAATGATCTCTTGGTTAATATAGGTGTATGCTAGTGTTTCTTCTTGTTAGGCAATAACTTATCAAATGGCACGTTTCCCTTCTTTTTACATACTGGTTGGACATTTTCTTTTAATTCAATTCTAGCTGCACCCTTACAAAAAGAACTGATAGGTAAATCCCATACGTCGAATTTTTGCATCCAGTCCGTTCCCACTAGATTTTCTATATCTTTCATTAGGAATATTTTGAGTTTTCTTGTTTTCCCGTGAAATTTTACATTTAGGATTACTTCTTCGAATTTTATACGCTTTCCTGTAACAGACTTAGCAATTTTTTGTGTATGTAACATGGTTGGTCTACTAAGCTTTCTCCATGTCTGTATGTTAATTATCGTTATATCGGAACCTGAGTCAAGTTGCAATTTTATCTTTTTATTTAAGATTTCCAGTTCCACATATTTCCTTATGTTAGTATTGTCTTCGTCATGCATTCTAGTAGCTCTTATTCTACTAGTATCTTTTCTGTTCCTACATTGGGATGCCTTATAACACATTTTTCCACACGCAAGACAGTTTTTATATTTAAAACGACAATCCTCATTCCAGTGTAGTCCTCCACATCGATAACATGCAGATGTGGGGGTATATTTACGTTGATTTTTGTCATTATTTGCCCTGTACGTTGTACTTTTTTCATTATTATACAATTTTCGTTTTTATTCCGAGGAGGGTGAAAAGCTTTTTCATTATTATAGAATTTTTGTTTTCTTTCCGGGGAGGGTGAAAAACGTAAAATTTGATTTAACTTACGAATATGTGATACTCTCGACTCCTCAATATCCTTCGAGTCTTTCTTTATGTTCAGGCATTTTTGGCAGTCTTCCGATAGTTTTTGTGGTGTCAATCCAGGTTCATTTTGCAGTTTTGAAAGCATTCTTTTAAGCATTTCACTATCTTTTGCTGAGACTAACCCTTGTACAAAAATAAGACACTTGAAATTGTCTGGAGTTAATTCTGCCAACTTGAAGTCGTCGCAATGTTTATTCACGATTGCGGCGAATGTGGAGTAATCCTCATTTTCATCCTTTACAAGGTTAAGACATTTCCACCTTTTGTGAAAAAGTGACATTTTTGGGCTGAAAAGCTCCGTCAGGAATATAACTGCTTCATTAAACGTTAGATCATTTGTCTTCTTTGGCAAAATATAATACACGAATTTTGTGTATTCTTTCGTTCCTAATTTTCTGAGTAATAGTCGTAGCTTTTTTGCTTCTGTCCAGTTTTGACAATCGATGTTGAAGATGTCTTCATGACATCTGAAAAAGTCCCCGAAATTTTTATCCTCTTCTTGGGAATATTTGAATATTTCTATCGTGTTCCATACCGCGTCTTGAGAAAAAGTCGCCTCTTTTTCAATATTTTGTTGTTGTGTATTACTCACTACTTTTACAATTAGCTCCTGGAGTTGTAATTGTCTTTCTTCATTTTGCATTTGTCTTTCATGATTTTCCTTCTGCGTTAGTAGTAATACTTTTTCCATTCTTTATTGGAATTGTAATTGCTGATCATTTTGGTATTTTACAAGTTCTACTAAAATACATTTAAAAACCTCCATGGTAAGAGTCTTACGAAAAAACTCGATTTTCCGTTTTTTAATTATCGTAACACTTTGTTACCCAGTTGTTGTGGATACTGGCAAAACGGCAATTTTCTCTTTTGAGTCTCCGAGAAATGCAAATTCTTGTCGCCCAAGCTGTTGTGGTGAGAAGAGAGAAATGTTTTCTTTCCGTGTAGGTCCCAATTTCTCAACACCAAGTTGCTGTGGTCGGCAAGGGAGAATTTTTCTTTGTACTCTTCCTGTGTGAGTTCGAATTTCCTCGTAGCCAAAGTTGTTGTGGTCGACGAGAGAGAAACTGTTTCTTTTTCTTCCGTGTGAGTTCGAAGTCCTCGTCGCCAAGTTGACGAGGGAGAATTTTGTCTTTTTTGTTCTTCCCGTGTGAGTTCGATATCCTCGTCGTCAAGATGTTGTGGTCGACGAGAGAGAATTTTTTTCCGTGTGAGTTCGAAGTCCTCGTTATCAAGTTGACGAGGGAGAAATTTGGTCTCCCCCACCCCCGTGTGAGTTCGATATCCTCCTCTCCAAGTTGTTGTGGATACCGAGTTGAAATCCGGTACCAATAAATAACAAACGCCAAGAATGAATATAGGAAAATAATGTATTAACGAAATAATACAAACTGGTAAAGCAGGTTAGTAGTTCAAGGAATACGGGTTAGTAGCAATATATATATATATATATATATATATATATATATATATATATATATATATATATATATATATACAGTCTTGGTATTGAAGTATTGCTGTATGACTTCTTACTGACTCTACGTGCTTGCTCACTTGCTGTTACGTCATCCTCACTCTTCCGGTTACCTACAACCTTTTACTCTGGACTCGACACTTCGGTCTTGCTCTCGTCTCATTCTCGTCTTCACGTAGCCGTAGTATATATATATACTGGGTGAGTCCATTTGTATTAAAAGCGGTGGACCCCTCAACACCCACACACACACACACACACACACACACACACACACACATATATATATATATATATATATATTTCTCTACCTGTCTATCGATATCCATATGAATTTATCTTTTTATTTTCAATAATGTTCCACATATATAAGGCCCCAAAGACACTCAAGTTAGGATGTTACTGAAGGTGGTTGTGCAATTTGTAAATGTAAGAGGCGAAGTTAGTTTGGAAAGAGATATTTGGGAAAGAAAATGATTAACCCTTGATTTAAGAAGGTAAGATTTTAGTGGTTGGGAAAGCACCAACCCCGGATTCTTTTCGCAAAGCAATGGTTCTTGCAAATAAGTTATTCGAGTGGAACGTACTCCTTACTAATTGAATAGGAACGTAATGAAGGTGATCAATCTATCTATCTATCTATTAAAAATATACACCGGGTCAAAATGCATTATCAATACATAAAATATTGACTGGAAGTAAAACTTTTGAGTTATAATGGCAGCATATATCTGCACACTGAGAATGATTGGCGCGTCCTTCAGCGCAAGTGTAATCAAATAGCGGCCATTTTTATGAAATATAAATTTCAATATCTTAAAATAAAATGAATCGTTAGGCTGACTTGAGAGTCTTGCGTTTCGTGTGGTCTCTGGTTTCAATTCTTCAAATCACAGTTCTACCTAGTAGGCAACAACAATAACTTAAAATGTATCTCGTTTTATTTTATGAGATAGATAGATAGATAGATAGATAGATAGATAGATAAAGTAGTCGTAGCAGCGTTTCTATGCGAAATTGGAGAGAGACATATATCAGCCGGTTGACAAAAATCTCAGTGCTGGTCTATCTCACTTAAGGATCTAAGTGCGTCGAGGCAACTTGATCCTTCTAATTCTTACAGCCGTTTGAGTGTCTTCGCGTATTTAAACAAAGGTGATTTATCATTCTCAGAGTTTCACGCCTATGGGCTTCAAATTACCCCTACTCATTTCGGGTCATCAGAGTTCTGACTAGACTGCGCATTCTATAAAACGAATAAAGAGAAATTCAATTAAGGCTGATATTGACGGATGGCAATTTACAGTCAATGTAAACCTTCCTCTTCAGAATGTGCGCCAAGGGTTTAATCCCTTCAATGTCAAATGAAAGAAAATGGCAGCATCATCAAGCGAATGTCCATCACATTAATATATTTACTCGTTTCTTAAAACGATATTTTTGGCGCATTATCGTGGATGAAAATGGTTTCTTGCTGAAGATGTTTGGCTTCTTTTTTTTTCTTGGAGACTAATGGCCATAT